GTTTTCCAAAATATTAGTCATGTTTGGTTAAGTTTCACTAGTTTGGTTTGCAATTCTTAAACGCCTGCTGCTCAATGTTCGTTCGTGAACTTTCAACAGCCTCACACCATTTAACTGGCACCTCTGAACCTTCAAATCATCTCACATTGTCTGCAACAGCACTTTAAGAACTTGGAAATTTTTCTAAACTTAAAGTGTATTTACCACCTTTGACCAAAGATGCAGTCATTGGTATGTCACTACTATAGTAAAATCCTAAATTTCCAACTCAATATCCTTTATGAGATACAGAAGTCATTTCTCAATATTTACCATCTACATACATTTTCTATATTTCACTACCTAAACATTTTTGGTACAGTATAAATTATGCTATACTATAATTTGCTATTACGTAAAACTACAGCTACAAATGTTACTCCCTTGTTTGTTTAAAATGACACTAGAAATGATGGGAGATTACATTGGAAGTCAAGGGCTGCATTATGAAGCATACCAGAGCAAGCTAGGCTAAACACCAGCTGTCACTCAAGCTAACCAGTGTTTTTTTCTGCATGTATCTTTAATAAGGACCTATTATCTGAATAAGCTTTAGGTGATGAGTGTCAATTCCCATTTTAAATTTATTTATGTACAGTGAGAGAGTGGAAACACGAATTCAGAAAGACCAGAGTTGAAGAAAGCGGCACTTGTAGCTGTTCAAATTCCCATTTAATCTCAAAGCACTTAGTAAATGTCTACATAGCTATGTATATTTCCATATCAACTAGATGCTTTGATGTAGTGGTTAGCAGAATGATGCGGTGAAATATATGATAAGTGATGCAGTCTCATATAACACGTGCAGCCCTGCTGCTTATCCTCAAATACAGGAAGTTAGGAGGTTGGGGTAAATCCCGCAGACAGGAAACTGGAGGGCTAGGATTGGGACTATGTGCAGAAACGCTGACTCTACAGACCCACCTTCCTGTTTTGACATGTGGAAGTTCCTCAGTTTTAGTATTTTAAAACAGGACCCAGCCGGGCATGGCCCATTCCCTGCAGGGCTATTTATGCCAGGCCTGGTATTGTCCTCAGCTTTCTGCTGTTTAGATCTCCTGCTGTGGAGCTGGTATAAATACCACACATTTTCCTGGACTGCATACAGCTGAAGCACAGAGTTGAAAACAGAAATAAAAGAGGTGGAGTACCTTCTAAACATCAAGACATCACAGAGTGGAAAAGGTCTATTTCATGCTCCATTACTGATTTGGCTCTTGTACACTTGTCCTTTTTCTGTGAATGATACATGGGGACTACACGTGCGGTCTACATGAGGCGGGCCTGTTTCCTTCTCTGGACCTTTGAAAAGCTATGAGAAGAATTTCATCTGAGAGGAGATTTCAAAAGAGACTGCAACCAGAGCTTCAGTCTCACTTTCCTTGCTGTCTGGGCCGCAGTTAAAATCCCGATATATTCAATCTAAGTGCTGGAAAGTGGTTTACGACAGTTTCCTTTTCAGATTATCTGTCTGAAACCTTGTGGCTGAGGTTAGCAGAACCCCGTGGCTGGCTACGCTGTCTGGGATCTGCTATCTCCAGACAAACATCTCCATGTTTGGCGTTTGAGAGATTCAGACTCTCGAGAGAAGTATAACATGAAACTGATCCCACACTGATGCAAAACAAACTACATTGCAAGAAATGAACCTGTGTAACTCTAATGAACCACACTGTCATCGAAACAAATCTCCTCTCCACAGAAACAAAGAATCCGCCATCTCTAGAGAAGTTGTGGGCTGAATTCCTGTGGCAGGTTTGTGGCTAGCACTTGGGGTGCTGTGAAGTTTAATGTCAGTGCTGTTAGTAGTACTTTGATTGGGGGGGGGGGGGGGGGGGGGGGTTACAAGTTGAAATAGCAGATTCCTCCAATGAATACTGAAACTTAAAAGAAAGAAGCAGTCAGTCCTATCTTCATGTCTGTTCTCATTTGATTGGTTTGTTTGGAATTACTGTATTCTTCAGCTCTTTGTCTGTTTAGTCTTATTTGACTTGTCTTTTACTGTTATTGCTCTTTATCTGCGTTATTTTATTTTAATGGGTAATTAGTATCTGACCGGAGATGACACACTTAGTTATCTTGAAATGTTTACACTCAGCTGCCAGTTTATGTAAGATACACTTAGCTAAAAATAACTAAAAGCTATTTAGAGAATTTAGAGAAAACAAAAGAAAAAAAGCCACCAACAGAGATGTTATAGTAATATAAAATAGTATATTGCACAGCTATGACATCAAAATTATGTGGCGCATGGACCTGGGTCCTTGAGGGTGTCCTGTGGGATCTGTTGGTTGTAAGACTTAAGTGGGTCAAGCTCATTCTCCTGCACCTGGTGCATTTATTGTTCACCCAACCATCCATTTCCTACTGATTATACATCAGTTTAAAATGAGATTCCAATGCAAGGATGCTTCATTGAATTAAACACCTGTTGCTTCAACTCTTTCTTCTTGTGTCTCTCTCCCCCTCCTTACTTTGCATCTCTGATAAGAGGGAGTAAGACATGAGAGAGGATGAGAGGAAAGGGAGACATGCAAACTAAGAAATGAGAAAAGGGTATATCTTAAGAGTTCCACTTCCTGTGGAAATGTTGAAGAAAATATACTGCTAGGGAACATGGTGTACCCCTGTTGTTGCCAGAGGTACAGCAACAGTTAGAGGGTGTTAACTGTTAAAGAAAGCAGCACACATGTATCCAAGATTTCCCAGTAGAAAATTGCATGTAATAAATTGTAAATATTCTTCACCGTACGTGTAATAATTTTAAAATTAGTCACAAACTAAGTCCTACACACTCAGTGTCGAGAAATTCTTCAATCTAAACATCATCAGGGCAGGATTGTCTTAAGGGCTAACCACGTTACTTTTAGCTAAACGGGTCGAATGAACTGGCAACTGAGATTACAATAACCCTACAGTAATTACAGAGAGTGGTATCAGTCTTGTCTAAGGTAAAAAGTGAGCGTATTTCCAAAATGTTGATCATTAACTTCTGTGTCTTTTAGCTTTTTATCAACCCCTCACCAGCTGCTGCTAATGGCAGTGTCCCTACATGGCCCACAAGGCTTTTGCTGGCATGGTGCAAACCTTTCTCCCTGCTCCATTTACTCTGCATAACCCTCAGCTCAGACTGAACATGCGGGCCCTGCTGCGCCCTGCAGGCTAATTCAGGATAAGTAAATAAAATGCTCAGAGACCCACGGAGAATGTACTATAAGTGACCACAACAACAAGCCAGAGCAGGGTAGTATTTCGATCCACCATTCTGACCCCTGTTGTTGCGGTGGAGACAGAGGAAATACACACACACACACGCTCACACACACACTCCCAGATTGAGACATGGAAACAGGATGAATGAGGGCATCTGTCTAAGACCTCCATTTCTGTTCCCACTGTCTCCAGGTGACTCTCTTTACTCTGAAGAAACCACACACTCTGTGTAGACAGAGGAAATAACACAACACACACACATACACCACTCTGTGTAGACAGAGGAAATAAACACACACACAACACTGGAATGTGACTGTCTCATTCTAAATATCTCAGACTGTCTAGAAAAGCCAAGAGACAGAGGGAACAACATAAACCACAGAGATCCCTCTCTACTCTAAGGAGACTGGAATAAAACACACAAAAACAAATTGTGTGAGCTGTACTTCATTAAAAGGTCCTCCTAAGATTTAAAGTCTATAGTACAATCTAATTTTGCAAGGTGAGAATACCGATAGAAAGATTTTTGATCAAAGTGGCATTAATACCGGACTCACACACCCTCATGTGCAAAGAGCGAAATGATTCCCTTCCAGCACTGAAACAAAAACTGGTGGTATCAAAAACTCCTTTCCTAATTGTGTGCGTGTTTAGCTACTGTAAGGAGTAGTGTGTTGTTGTGTTGTTGCCCTACAGATGTTCCTTGTCCTCGATTCTCGTGATCTTCCACTGACATTTGAATGGTGGCTTAAGAATTGCCTTTCTGTTCTTTACTGATGATTTGGTACTATTCATTATACAGCATGCAGCCAATGTGAAACAGCTCGGTTGTGTTCACCGTTCCCTGTTTAGGCCACGAATATCTGATTGCTTGGACTGCAGTTCATTGCTTGGGTGGATTAGGAGTTTCTATTTCTATTTTTTTCAACTGGCAGAAAAAGCAAGACAAGACCAGAACAAGTTTCAGGGATCTAACTGTAACCCTTACACTAAAACCAATTCTGAGCCTCAAAACACACACACACACACACACACACACACACACACACACACACACCACACACACACACACACACACACACACACACACACACACACAGCTGAAGCAGGTACAGTAACCACTCCAGCTCTCTCCCCCTGATTTCCTGCCCAAAGAAGGGCAACCGCACGGTTCAGATTGTCTCCCTCACACATCAGACATTCCTCAAATTCCTGCTGCTAAAGCTGAAGGTTGAGGTGCAGTGCAACAGATGAGGCCATCAGCCTCCTTGCTGCCCCCATCAAAAACAAAAGCCTAACAGTAAACAGTAGTCCTGAAACTACTGTCTACACTATGTAGGTCTCACACACACACGGTAGCAGTTTCAAGCAGCTTTCAACACATTGGCCTTCAAACGTATTGCATGAAGTCAGCTGATTAAAGTGACCTTTTCCTTTTCTTTTAGTAATTGTGACGTATAGGAAATAGCCAAATACTTCCAGTTGTTTCATGACTGAAGGGACATGACCGGAAAGAAAGGAAGGTAGAAGATAAGCAGTCATTTTTATGACATTGCATTACACACGGCACAAACTGAGTTAGACCTCACACACACCTTCATTATGTGACATGTTAACATCATTCTGCCCAACTGCTTCTCCTGCTGAGCTTGATCTGACAGGCCAAAACTCACAGAGCATGCTGTCACTGTAGAGTCATCTCAGTTGCTGAGACACTTCACCTGAGCAGATTTGTTTTATTCTGAGAGTGAGTGTGCGCTTATGTGTTACATTACATCATACTTCCCACAGCTTGGTAATTACTGAACACGTTTGTGTGTTTACATGTGTGTGCAGTGTGCACTGTGTGCACTGACCTCCAATAGCTTCACACCTTGACGTCATCTCCCACAGGACCAGAGCCATGGAGTAAATGTCAGTCTGCTTGAAAGACTCGATGTTCTCCAGATTTAGTCGGGCCTCCAGCACCTCTGGTGCCATATAGCGCGCAGTGCCCACCTGCCCAACAGAGGCAGCAAACAGGGGTTAACACACAAACAGGCACACCCAAGCATTAAACAGATTATCACCTTATCACTACACTGTCTCTCAAAGCCTGATTAATGGTGCTGGTGCAATAAATCAAAGCACTGGCTCAGTGGCAGAAGACCTGACTCACTCCTCGCTTCATTCAGAAACAGGTAAGAAAAAGAAATGACATTTGACATCATAAACAGAGAGATTCTAGTCTAGCCATTCATCTGTTTGATGTGCGCTGTTAAATTACACATAGTAGCTACTGCACTGTTTGCTCCAGACAACTTTCAATGTTGCTGTTATGCTGCAGTGTTTCTGTATACTCCAGATGCATTTCTTCACAGCCAGACATGGAACAATATATATTTTTTGCAAGTCTGCAGAGTCCTACATTTAATAGTCAACCTCCAAGCCAAGATCAACAAGTTGTCAAAGTTTTAACTAAAAGCAGATATAGAAAATTAAGTCTCAGCTGAAGACAAACTCAATTCAAGGTCACGTCCAAAATAAAGATCTTTAGCCTCACGTTAAATCACAAGTCAAGACAATCAATGACTTCCAAGTCAAAATCACAAATTCCTGTCAGGAGAAATCAGTTTGAGTTCAAACCAAACAAGATTAAAGTCCAATGTTGAATTATTTAAGTATTATTTCAAGTCTCAGCTTAAACTCAGTGGCTTAGGTGAATATTTAGAACATACTCTCTCCCAGTTTTTACTGAAAGTAGAGGGATACCATTCTCATCAAGTCGCTGCACGTCAAATCTAATAGTTTGCACGTCTTTGCAACTGTATGCTTGCAAATCTTGGGACTCTTTTGATTTTGTAAAGTAGAGTTTGGAGTCATCATGGACTGTAATGGAAACGTATAAGCTGAAAGTGAAAGTGGAACAGTTTTCTGCCTTTAAAAGTGACATTTGTGCGTCAATCAAAGTCAATTAGCATAACCGTTTTGCATTCCATCTACTTTCCCACTAGTAAAACGGTGGCTTGTACTGTTCCACAGTAACCCAAGCAGTAATCCAAATGGCTTTGAGTTTAGATGTGCAAACTGGTCAAATAAGCTAGCTGACTGTATATGCAAATTCATTCTTGCAATGCTAATGCAAGACTTATGTCCTTTCCACCACAGGTACTCTGTCAGTTCAACAGCTTTGTAGTGCATTTACATGCATTTGTTCCATTAGTGCTTACCATGAGCATTTTCCAAATCTGTCTTTTCACTGCTGCTTTAATAACCATAAAACATCTGAGATTTACATAACATCAAATTTCCCATGTGCTGTATATGCAAAAATACTGCTGACATGGTTTTGCGAGTGGTTGCACGAGTTGCATTTTTATGCAAAGAAAAGTTCGACCACACGCGCACACATGATTGAAAAGAATTTACACCGAAACCTAAGCTCAGGATAATATCTGACAGAGACACACACACACAGTCACGGAAGTTATAATTACAACCTACTAGCTGGGAATTTCCAACTTTTAATTGTGAGTGGAACCAATAGTGACATTGAACAATCATACTTCGGCCTACGCATGAGCTGAGGTTAAAACCCCCCAAAAAGGAAGAAAAGATTGAACAGCCAGGATTTTGTTGTGGTTGCACTCACTGCACCTCTTCCTTCATCACTTGATTACTGATCAGTCTGTCAGTTTTCTTTTGTCAGCAAACAATCAAACACATTCTCAGGAGAAGTAGGAGGAAGGCAAAACAAACACAACCCGCTCATATCTCATCAGATATGGTGAGATATGACAGCTACAAATCTATTACCGCAGATATTTGCAGGTTATGCTTTTGATATCTCTTGGCAGTTGTGTTTAAAGACCATTTGTTAAAAAGAGGAATCCATAATGATATTTAACCTGTCCACTGTTGGCAAGTTCATCCACTGACAGGCTGCTGTCCAGACAGAGTCCCAGGCCAAAGTCACAAACACAGCACGTCCCGTCGTTTTTCACCAGGATGTTGGAGCTCTTCAGGTCTCGGTGGACTATCGGCACCTAGGAGAATAACAGACACTTGATCGTCCAAATGAATAAAAATAATAAGCATGAAAGCAGAGATCAAAATGGTAAAGAGATAATACGATGTATGTAGCCTGAGTTACAGGATGTTGATCTGTTGACTTTTCCCCTAGTGTCACCAGGCATTAAGCATTGTGTCCTGTGTCTTTTAGAAAACCTTAATCTAGCTGTAATTTGATGCTGAGAAAGTCCCTCTTGGCTTTACATTTGACATTTTTACTTAATTCTAAGAGTGCTACAGGTTTGGGCTGCTGTGAGGACCTCCCTTCATCTCACTCCCTGCATGTTATTCACTGTTATTTGCTCCTCCTGTACTTTGTATTTTTTTTCTGTTTGTTTAAAGGGAGTTCTTCCTGTCAGAGATTATGAGTTTTTTTTGTACCGTGTAGGATCTGTACTTTCTACACTGCATAAACTAAATTTAACTGAACTGAATTAATGCCATCGTCTCACTATAACAATTCGATGTATCCAGTTAATATTTGCTAAAAACTTGATGGACAGCAGTACTCATAACAGGTGAAGAAAGGCTGAAGTGTTTTTATTGGAACAAGTGTCATCTGAATGCTGCTAACGTGGCTAATAGCAGTCACATGGATGGATTGCTGCCCTACTGCTAAATATGACTTGTGATCTTTAACCTTAGGGCTTCCACAGGGGAGGCGATCACTGTGGAGGTGGGCAACACCCCGTGCCAGAGAGCTGCTGAACACCTGCAGCTCCTGCCAGCTGATCACGTGATGTGTCAGGTACTCCTAGAAGACAGAGATGTGACAGTGTATTAGCATTTGAGAAGTTACAAACTAAAGTAATACCACTTTCATATTCCGGACACTTGTGCACTCACCTGTAGGTTTCCTTTGGGGTGGAAGGCCGTGATCAGCCAGTACTGTTTCTCCACCTTCCGCTCCTCAGCTGTCAGGAAGTGGAGGATATTCTCATGTCGGAGGTCTGTGTTGGAGAAAATGTCCTTCTCGTTCTTCCAGGAGGCGTACTCTTCGTAGGGGAAGATCTTTACAGCTACTGTTTCAAACTGATTCCACGTAGTCTGCTTCAATTTAGCCTTGTATACCTGAGCAAAGCGACCCTTTCCCACCTGGGACACAAGCAAAAGTTAAGATTAGAGTTTGAAGCAGCACAGCTCCACATATGTATCAAATATGTTTGCATACCAGCAGATCCAGCTCTATAGGCAGCGGCTCTGTGTTGTGGTTCAGACTGTTGGCATGAGTCGAGCTGCTGTCGGACTTATCGTCATCTGTCATGATGGCGCAGGCGTCACTGCAGTCCAGCCCACCGGCTATTGGCTTACGCTTAAAGTTAAAGCTGCTCTCCCATTGGCGGTTGGGACGCCTCTGCCGATGGATTCTGCACCAGTAGAACATTCCAAAAAACGCGATCACCATCACCAGCAGGGGCAGCATGCTCACCAGAACTGCAGATATCAAAGAGTGGTTGGACTCCAGTGGATCTGGAGTTGGATCCACAGCTGGGGAAGAAGATGAAAAACATGAAAAAAGTGTGAGCATGAGATGCGTAAGCTAATGAGTCCCAACTGAGAAAGAAGACGCACAACGATAACATAAGGTTGTGTGACATCAGAAATGGAAATGTATCGAGATAGTAGCAGAACGCAAAAATTCCCCATGTAAGAGCTAAACTGCTCGTGGGTGGACTTTGAACTGAATCATGAAAGTCAGCTATGAGGATACGTTAAGAATATTGTTAAAAATGACTCACCATCATTTGCTGTCATGTTATTAAAACAAAAAAATTCTCCCTGCTGCACAAAATGCCTTCAGGTTTGCTCAGAGTTTTCCTTAGCTATCTGAAGCTAAGGTGGGAAGATGTAGATATTTTTGAAACCGCCAACGTGAGTCAGAGCTCTGTTAAAGAATGAGCATAATAGTCTTCTCGGACTGTCATGAAGCTATTAATGCAAAGTCAGTTTTTCAGTAGACTGTTTTATGATGCTGATGTGATTCTAGTTGGTATTGTTGATTTGGTGAGATGCATTAACAACCTACAGTGATCAGTGGATTCTGGAAAAGTAACTTTTGCATTTGAACAGCTTGTACTTACAGCTCATGTTAGTTTCACACAACTTTTTCGGCACCTATTACTAATTAGTAGATCTAATTAGTAGTAGTAGATGCAATAATAACAGTGTGCAATACACATACACTTATTCTTCTTTTTTATACTAAGTTAATATACTGTGTTGTGTTGTTTGTTACGTTGTGATGTGTCATATCGTGTCGTGTTGTGTTATATGTAGTGCCGACGTAGGACAGTTTTTCCAATTTCATTGTACTACTGTACTATGTATGACTGTGCAATGACAATAAAGAGTTATCTTATCTTATCTTATCTTTCTTTAAAATGAACCCGGGGTCGACCTTTGCTGAAAAGGACACGCAGGCTAGTTTCTGTGCTCTGTGCGGTGGATGCAACAGCAGCACACGTCAGTTTCCTCCCACTGCCACCACTGAGGACACCACAGGGAAATCATTCTTAAACCCTGCACTATAAAAACATCATTGTGTTCCCCAC